TCAAAGTTCGTTTTTTTGCCTATGGTTGCCCAACTGTTCCACCATTACTTGTTGAAAAGGCAATCCTTCCTGCACTGAATTGTCTTTGCACTTTTGTCAAAAAACAGTTGGACATATTTATGTGGATCTATTTCAGGCTTCAGAATTCTAATCTGTGTCCATTCTATTGCATGATCTGTGTCTATCCTCCAGCAGTAACCCAATGTTTTGGTTACTCTAGCTAAATAGTAAGCTTTAACACTGCATATAGTGATTCCTCCCACTTTACTCCTCTTTTTCAAAACTGTTATAGCTATTCTAGAATCTTTGTCTTTTCATATAAATTTTAGAATAAGCTTGTCTATATTTACAAAAAAAATCCTGCTGTGATTTTTATTTTTATTTTTATTTATTTATTTATTTATTTATTTAATCCTCACCCGAGGATATTTTTCCACTGATTTTTAGAAAGAGTGGGAGAGGAAAAGACAGAGAGAAACATGGATGTGAGTGAAACACATTGATTGGTTGCCTCTTGCACGAGCCCTGACCAGAGCCTGGGCTGTGGAGGAGCCTGCAACCAAGGTAAGTGTCTTTGACTGGAATCGAACCCGGGACCCTTTGGTCTGCAGGCTCATGCTCTATCTACTGAGCAAAACTGGCTAGGGCATTGTTGTGATTTTTAAAACTATTTTTGTTGGGGTAAAATATATACTAGTATAAGATAAAATTTACCATTTAACTGTTTTTAAGTGTATGATTCAGTATACTTAAGGACAGATGATGCAAAGGTTAGATAAAAGGACAGTGTGAATAATTTTGTGTCAATACATTTGAAAAATATAAGAAATCAAAAATTATCTTGTTACTCAAACAGAAAGAGAAAATCCAAAATATCCTATAACTATTAAAGAAGTTGAATCAGTAGTTAAAAAATTCTCCACATAGCCCTGGCCGGTGCCCTCAGTGGTTAGAGCGTCAGCTCATGCACTGAAGGGTCGCAGGTTTGTTCTAGGTCCAGGGCACATACCTGGGTTTCGGTTCCCTCCTGGCCTCCCGTCGGGGCCTGTGCAGGAGGCAATCAGTCGATGTGTCTCTCTCACATTAATGTTTCTACCTCTCTCCCTCCCTTCCACTCTCTCTGAAAAGCAATGGAAAAAATATCCTCATCTGAGGATTAAAAAAAAAAAATCTCCACATATAAAACACCAGAATCAAGGGAGGAACCAAGATGGCGGCATAGGTTAACGCCGGAGTTTGCCGCCTCGAACAACCAATTCAAAAATACAACTAAAAGACAGAACGGACATCACCCAGAACCACAGGAAGGCTGGCTGAGGAGAGATTCTACAACTAGAAGTAAAGAGAAATCCATACCCAGACTCAGAGGAGGCGCAGTGCTGAAGTGAAATACTAAGGTGCGGAGGGCGCGTGGAGCAGGCCGGCGGCAGAGGGCGCGGTTGTTGGTTTCAATCGGGAGGGAGTTTCAGACTCTGAGCTCCAGATCCCGGCGAGTCTCTAGGGACCCAGACTCAAACGGGAGAAGCGGGAAGACAGCTTTCTCTCCGAGGTTTGCAGCGGTTGCAGAGCCGCTGGGGACGGAACTGAGAGCAGCCATAACTGCTCCCTCCGCCCGCCCTGTAGATTCCCTGGGACCCGCCCTGCCCAAGCCCTGCACAGAAGCATTTGCCGGAGAGCCTCAGGCAAAGGCTAGATTAGCACCGCCCTAGAGATTCAGCACAGAAGTTCTCCCACTGCAGACACAGCTGACTCTCATAGCCAGTTAGCCTGGAAGTCAATTCACCCCTAGTATTGCCGACAACAATTAAGGCTTAACTACAACAAGACTGCGCACAAAGACCACAAGGGGGTGCACCAAGAAAGCATAAAAAATGCGGAGACAAAAAAACATGACAGAAATGGAGGATATAGAGCTAAAAAACGCACTTTTGAGGGCTTTCAATAATTTGCTAGAAACTGCCGATAAACTTGATGAGAGCCTCAAGAAATCTAATGAGACCCTCGATGTTGTGATAAAGAACCAACTAGAAATTAAGCATTCACTGACTGAAATAAAGAATATTATACAGACACCCAACAGCAGACCAGAGGAGTGCAAGAATCAGGTCAAAGATTTGAAATGCGAAGAAACAAAAAACACCCAACCGGAAAAGCAAAATGAAAAAAGAATCCAAAAATACGAAGATAGTGTAAGGAGCCTCTGGGACAGTTTCAAACGCACCAACATCAGAATTATAGGGGTACCAGAAGATGAGAGACAGCAAGATATTGAAAACCTATTTGAAGAAATAATGACAGAAAACTTCCCCCACCTGGTGAAAGAAATGGACTTACAGGTCCAAGAAGCGCAGAGAACCCCAAACAAAAGGAATCCAAAGAGGACCACACCAAGACACATCATAATTAAAATGCCAAGAGCAAAAGACAAAGAGAGAATCTTAAAAGCAGCAAGAGAAAGAAACTCAGTTACCTACAAGGGAGTACCCATACGACTGTCAGCTGATTTCTCAACAGAAACTTTGCAGGCCAGAAGGGAGTGGCAAGAAATATTCAAAGTGATGAATGCCAAGAACCTACAACCAAGATTACTTTATCCAGCAAAGCTATCATTCAGAATTGAAGGTCAGATAAAGAGCTTCACAGATAAGGAAAAGCTAAAGGGGTTCATCACCACTAAACCAGTATTATACGAAATGCTGAAAGGTATCCTTTAAGAAGAGGAAGAAGAAGAAAAAGGTAAAGATACAAATTATGAACAACAAACATGCATCTATCAACAAGTGAATCTAAAATCAAGTGAATAAATAATCTGATGTACAGAATGAACTGGTGATTATAATGAATTAGGGACATAGAAAGGGAATGGACTGACTATTCTTGGGGGGGAAAGGGGAGTGGGAGATGCGGAAAGAGACTGGACAAAAATCGTGCACCTATGGATGAGGACAGTGGGTGGGGAGTGAGGGCGGAGGGTGGGGCGGGAACTGGGAGGAGGGGAGTTAGGGGGGGAAAAAAAGAGGAACAAATATAATCTGAACAATAAAGATTTAATTTTAAAACAAACAAACAAACAAACAAAAAAACACACCAGAATCAAATGATTTTAAAGGACATCTATCAAGTATTCAAGGTTCATGTAATTTTTTTTTATCATGATAGTGTTTTAAATTTTCTTTATTATTGAAAGTATTATAGATGTCCCTTTTTAAGGTTCACGTAATTTAATCTTATATAATCTTTTCCAGAAATGAGAAAGAAAACGCCGGTGATTATTAAAGGTTAATTTAACCTTGATATAAAAACAATAACAAGGACAAGAAGGGAAAATTATCAGACTTTCTGACTCATGAAATAGATACTATGTTCTAACCAAAACATTAGCAAACTGAATACAGCAATACTTAAAGAAAGAAAATGACACATCATGCCCAAGTCAGGTTTATCCCAGGAATGCAAATGACTTCCTGGGACTTGGCTTATGCAATACAATGAATCTGTGGTGCCTGCCATTCAGAGACAAAGGAAGCACAGGGTTTGGGGCTAAGGTCACAAGAATGACTATGTGCTGAGTGCAGAGAGCCTGTGAATGTCCAGGTAGAGATGTTTAGGCAGCAACCAAGAGTACTTACTGGTCTGGAACTCAAGTATAAGCTGGGCTGAAGACAGAGCACTGAGAATCACCAGTACAGACTAGTACCTACAAATGGGATGGAATTATCCAAAGAAACTGGGATGAAGACAGAAGAGAACCAACCTGAATCCCAGACAACCCAATGTTTAAAGAAGAGGATTCTCTAAAAAGACTGGCCAGAGAATCAGGGAAAGCAAGAACCAGGAAGGCAAGGAAGACAGTAATTCAAATCACTTTACGAAGGAGAGGGGACTGGAGAATTCAGTCACCGTTGTTCACTAAGACAGGGCAGTTTCAGGATGTGCTGAGGGGAGAAGGCAGACTGTTTTTGGCTGATGATGAATGAATAAAAGAAAATAGAAATAGGGAATGTGGTCAATGCTTACAAGAGGGCTGGCTGAGGAGGGAAGCAGACTATGCCAGAGCAAAGGGAGAAGCCAATTAGAGGATGAACTTGAAGACCATTTAGATAGGGTGGTGAGAAAAAATATAACACAGAGCCTATCCTCCACATTTCAGAATGGAAAAGATTGTTCTTTAGTCACAGCCCTGAGGCATGAACATATAACTACCAGAATTAGATTGCAAACCCATCCTAATTGATCTGTGAGAACTTGCTTCAGTTGACCATGCTTCTGAAATTCAGCAAACAGCCACAACCCTAGTCCAGTGACCATGCTCCTATGGCTAAAGGTGAACCAGTCCCTGAAAGTCCACCCATCCGTAAATTCCACATTTACCCAAAATGAAGGGGGTAAAAGCAAAAAGTATTAAGGCCTTCCTCAAGGACAATTATAAAAAGCACAAACTTGGACCTTGGAAAAGGGGGAGTCCATGGGTCTGGAAAGAGAAAATGAGCAGATGGATAAGAGCAGTGGCTGCAGCAGGTAACATGAATCCTTTCACATTCAAGTGTAAAAATCTGAGCTGTGGAAAGGCGACCTGAACTGTACAGGAGCAAGCTAGGACTCAAAACCTCATCTGGTTGACTGTAAGGCCTGGGCTCTTTAATGTGAACTTATAGTGCATTTATATCCATCTTATTCATTCCAGAATTGAAGCTCTTTATGTAGCTCTACAAACTTTTACATGGCGAGTGCTAAATGAAGAAATTATAGTTATAATGATCAAATTTGTTACATGCCACCCTGCTTTCAAAAGTGCTGATAGCTTTCCTTCATGAGTGATTTACACCATCTCCACTACAATCTTCTATGGTATTCATGTGCTCAGCACTCCTTTGCTATAGATTTACAGAGGCAAAGCAATACTGTATACCTTGTTTACTGAAGGTTCCAAATTAGTGAATTTAGTCTCTACTAAAGAGAGTTCACCATGTCTGCTAATGAGACCAAAAAGCACATCTTACCTGAATTTTGATGGGCCAGGTGAAATTACTGACATAAACAAAGAAAGTGATATTCTGGTGGTTGCGAAAATCAAACTTCTCATTAGAGAAGCTATCTTTGTACTCCTTAATGTTGGTTTTCGAAACAACAGGCATCTCTTCTCCAGCCTGGGTTCCAGCTATTAGGAAGAAAAGAATAAAACAGAAGAGACTTTTTAGGGGGTATGGGGGGCAGAATCTACCTTCATTAATAATAAGGATAATAGTTAGCATTTACTAAACACTTACTATGTCCCAGGAACAGCCTTTAAGAGCTCAATCTCATTTAATCTTAACAATAACTCTATTATCCTCATTTACAGATCAGGAAACTAAGGTTCAGAGAAACTAAGTAACTAACTTGGTTCAGGTCACACAGCCAGTAAGAAGTGGAGCTGGGATTTGAAGCTGGGAAGGCTGATATACAAGCCCGTGCCCTTAATTAGAATGATTTTACTAGGAATCCCTGCAATTCCCTTCCAAGCTGCACATGGCCATGAAAATACAGATAGCACTAGAGTCCTATTAATAACAATGACATCCACTCTGCCCATAACACTTCAATTGCTCTGCATTTTCCCTTTATACCTATTTGTCAGTGCTCCATATCGCCCCTCCCAGGGACACTGATTCACCACTCACTTCCTAACTAACAGTATCCTCAAGTCTCAACAGTGGCAGGGAGGACCGAGCTCTAAACGTCACTCAGTCCCTTCTGCCACCAGCTACAACAGTATTTAAGTCCCCCAATGTGGTATAAATGCATCCTATTCCCAAAAGTCCTTCAACATTCCATATTTCCCCTCTGCCGGGAATTCTAGTGTCTATAAAGATTCATTAAATAGATTTTCCCCATGTCTGAATCAAATCCTGTGACTGGAGCCCAGACTGTCAGGTTCTCATTGAGATAGTCATTGTAAATCATCATATGCTCAGAGATGTTGCCTTTCTCAAGATAAATGCTCCAATAATTCAGACCTTTTCTTAAAAGTCTCTCATCCCTGCAAGTTTCTGAATCTTTTCTGAATTCTAGACAGTCTTTTAAGACATGATAAACATAAAGTGACGTGCAAAGATAATGATTTTATCTTGCTTCAGTCTAATTGGTTGTGTTTTAACAAAAAATCAAAGACCAAACAATAACAACAACAAAAAACCCAAAACAAAAAACCAGTATTGTATAGTAATAATAATGATGAAACATTTAGTGAGACTTTACCGTGTTTCAAGTACTACTTTGAGTAGTTTGTTTATGATCTCATTTGTTTAATTCTCACAACACTCTGCATGGCTAGGTGTTTTTTACGAGGAAACTGGGTCTGAAAGCTTAAGTAATTTGCCCAACAGTACAGTAACAGGTAGAATTCAAACCCAGGTCTGTCAAGCTATGCTCTTAACCACTACATAAGGTCCACCCTTCACTGTTTTAGCAGATTTTCTGCCCCAGCACATCTTCTTTAGTGACTCATAGTAAGATAAACAAGATAGTTTTAATCTCCAAAGTACATTTCCCTGTACCTACTAAAATCTCATTCTATTTTAAATGTTTCCATTTCTTGAAACTTTGAGTCATTTGCCTTTTTCACTTCTGAAGCACTGATGAGGATGATGATGGCAGTGCCAGAACAGCAGCTGCAGCAATGCTATTGGTGGTGGTAGTGGGGCAGGTAGTGAGCATGTACTGAGCCTGACATGGTAGGCACTGGCATGTAGAACCTAATTTAATCTATACCACACTTCTCTTTACAATGAATAACCCTAAAATCTAGAGAAGGATTTAGACATTTGCTTAAGGCTCCCAGCTAGTAAGCGGCAAAGCGGGGTTTCAAACCCATCTGTCTCTCTCCAGAACCCCTTTTCTCAACTCCTACATCACGATTCTTAATCTATTATCTTCACGCAGAAGGTCTTCACTAGGTAAGTTTTTTACCTGAGAAACTGGCGGCCCAGGTGATGTTGAGATTAAAGTTTTTGGAGGCATTGATGAACATGTCCAAATCCCTGTTTTGCTGATGAGAGATACAGATAATTAGGAAAGTAATTAGAACAGTTTCCAGATTTTAAAATAATGCAATAATTAAATTTTATTACTTTTACCCTTCTTAATTAGAAAGCAGATATTTTACGTCTTAACAGAAACTGACATTTATAGATTAGTAAAATTTCTAACCAATATAATATACTCCCAAAACATTTGATTTCTCTCCCATAAAAATGCATGGAATTGAATGATTTATCAAATGCCTAACTCCATGAAAAATATATCTTTAAAAAAACAGCCTCGCCAGACAACAATGACTTACATCCTGTGACCTATGTTAGGGAAATCAGCCTCCTAAGAAACCTCTGGGCAGCCGTTTCAATACTTGATCAAGGGTCCCACTTTAAATGTATTTATAAATTCAGTCTATGTACTTCTGAACTATTAATAGATTACATACAGTGTAAAGTTCTCCAAAATGGAAATGGTTTTTAAAAAAGCAAACGAAGCTGAAATAAACTAAATGAAAACATAATTTGATGGTATTCATTCATGATTTGAATAACATTTTTCTCTAACTAAAAATATTATTTCACATAGAGAAAGATGACTAAATGTATTTTATTAACTTTGAAAATCTTGTTTACCACTTAGAGATATAGCAAGTTGAAGAGCTAGTTTAACTTATTTTGATATTTTGGTTTTAGTGACTGAAAAAATATCTGTGAGAATGGTGTTGTGGCAACTGGGAGAAGTATACTATTAGCCATGCTGGGTAAATTTTAATACTAATTTTTACTTTTTACTGACAATTGTCGAAGAATTATTTTTTGCAAATAAATCAGATGTTGTATTTTTACATTTTACAAATGGATCCAATCCTGCTGAAATTCTTCATTTTGTAATACCACAAAACATTAGAAAATTAAGATTTTTAAGGGTGTTGTTTTAATAGTTTCTACAGGACAAAACTTCAATGGAAACGTTTTCAAAATGGAATCTCCAAACCAGAAGTTTCTCTCACAAAGCAGTTATCTTCTCATTTATTAATGAAACCTCACCGTCCCCTTGAAGGGACAGCTCAAATGCTTAATTTTAGTATTTGTTGGCAGCACACTACTAACAAGTACTTTATTCCACAGAAAGGACAATAAATTTGGAACCTAGTGCTTTTTTAAAAGATAGAAGATACACACTGGATACCTCTATTAAATATTCATAAGGTAAACAGGCAGGTCCAAAGGTTTTCATGGTCACTGCCCACATTGCTAAGAAGTATTACCAAGAGCCTACTTGCTTATTTAAAATAAAATTAACAACATCAATTATATCCTGAAAGACTGAGCACTTCAACCACTTGCTTATGAGTAAGTTCGGTAAATAAATTTCATATTTGGTCCTTTTGCTATAACCTTATCCTAAAATCTTTTTTCAAAATTCCATTTAACATAGCCCCTGAAATGATATCCCTACACAGTTTTCCCACAAACTATTTTCATTTAAAGTACATTGATGAGAAATAAGAAACTTCTAAGGAGGCTCCTAAGTAATTTATCATCAAGTTTAGAAAAACTGCATTATGTATTGGAGTGGGTAATGAATAACTTTATATTTCATTGAAGAAATTGTGCAGATGTGTCTTTATGTTCAAGATGCTTCACTTTTAAATGTCATGCTGTGTTGGCACCCTTCTACCACTAGGAAATACCTTATGGCAAGATGGGGTTCATTATTAACGTCAGTAGATATAAATCCACATTTCAAATAGTCATCTTAATAATTTCAATTATTTCTGGCTAACTTCTTGTTGGGAATAACTAAACCTTCGCTGTTTTTACCTCCACTCGAATGAGGCTAACAACTTATTCTATGAGAAGTGTCACCCCTGCCACCTCCCTTGACCACTGGTATTGATTTCAATCTGCAGTTTCTTGGTGAGTACTTTTTAAGCCTCTGATCTACTTTGAGAGAGTAAATCTAGGCTTTGCGATCTGCTCCTCTGATGGGGGAGTTACCCTTGCAGTCTCTTCTCCTTTTCTGTACAGGGATGCAATGGGCTGATGGGCAAATCAAGTATCTGTGGAGTCAATGTCAGTCTGTGTATCTGATACTGGTAAATCTTAAAACCGTTCCTGCCTTTTAGGTGGAAAGGCGATAAAATATAGATCTAACATTTCTTCCCTGTACCTCTAAACATCATCCTGTGTGCTCCACTCTGGAGACCACTGTTAAGGCAGTGCTTTTATCCATAATGACAAAAAAAAAAAAAGACTTTTAAATCTTACTTCATCAGGTGTAGCCACAAAATTGATGGCTGTGTAATAGCGGTCATCCTCCTGGGACAGGCTAAAGGTGAACTGATAGTCAATAAGAAGGGTATCTATGATAAGAAAGACATGTGTATTTAAAAGTTGAAGTAAAACAAAACAGGTCTCTAGAAACACACTTTGATTATCTCATAAATATTCAATACCAGGAAAGCACTTTTGGCTCACTTATACCCAGGGACTGGGGGTTTTTCAAAGGAAATCAAGGGCAGTATCATTTTGTTTGGATATACCCACCAAACCCTCCTTATACCATTATCCTGGTTGAGATTTTAAGCTCCAACCTAACCTACCTACAAATATTAATTGAACATCTATTTATTACAAACTAGGCTGTACTTAAGCATATACTAGTAATGTTATAAATGGGGAGTTGTTGGCAATTTTACTTTTAACTGTTTAAGAAACTGCCATATGGTTTTCCAAAGTGGCTATACTATTTCACATTCCCACAAAGAATAGCCAGTTGTCTGGTTTTGGTACAGTATCAAAGCATAATATCCATAATTATGTGAAAAGGTAATTAAAATACTCCATTTTCCAACTATATGTCTGGTGAGGCCAGGCTTTTCTCATGATAGGGGCAGATGTGAGACTCCAGTTGTCTTCTCTAAATCCACAGTATTGGCTTTTGAGTCTAGACATTCTACAAGTGTATCTCACTGTGGTTTTAATACATATATTCCAAATGTCTAATGTTATCCATTTATTCATGTGCTTATTGGCCATCTATAATAATAAAAGCGTAATATGCTAATTATACTGGACAGCCAAACAACCTTCCGGACGAAGCTGGGGCTGCGAGGACCGAGGCAAGCCACCGTGGCTGTGAGGGCCGAGCACCTTGCATGAATTTCATGCATCGGGCCTCTAGTTTATATATATTCTTTGGTGAAATGTCTATTCAAATCTTTGCCTGTTTTTAACTGGAATTGTCTCCTTATTCAATTGTAAGAGTTCTTCATATATTCTGGATATAAGACCTTTATCAAATATATGCTTTGCACCCAGCCGCAGTGACTCAATGGTTGAGTGTTGACCTATGAACCAGGAGGTCATGGTTCAATTCTGGGTGAGAGCACATGCCTGGGTTGCAGGCTCGATCCCCAGTGGGGGGCATGCAGGAGGCAGCCGAGCAATGATTCTCTCTCATAATTGATGTTTCTATCTCTCTCTCCCTTCCTCTTTAAAGTCAATAAAAATATATTCTTGAAAAAAATTTTAAAAATATATATACTTTGCAATATTTTCTAGCCTGTGGCTTTATTTAAAAAAATTTTTTTAAAGAAACATCTATGTGAGAGGAAAAAAACATCAATTGTCTGTCTCTGATATGTGCCCCTACCAGATGCAATCCAGGTTTGTGCCCTGACTGAGAAGTGAACCTGCCACCTTTCGGTGTATGGGACAATGCTCCAACCTACTGAGCCACACCAGCCAGGGCTTATTTTTTAATGGTGTTTTTAAAATACAAGTTTTAAATTTTGATAAGTCCTAATAAACAACTTTTTCTTTTATAAATTGTGCTTTTGGAATCATATCTAAGAACTCTTTTCCCAAGGTCATAAAGTTTTTCTCTTTTCTCCTAGGGGAAAAATTTTTTTACCCTATAAAGTATCTATATACTACTATATTACATTTATAGGTTCCAGTTGGACACGAATTTTGAGGGGACACTATTCAACCCAGGAAAGCAAGTATATAATTAGAGTGTATATGCTAAACATTAACTCATTTTTCTCTGGTTCCATAATCTGGCCTGCTATGTGGGTTCTGGAAGACAATGTATTTACCCATAATGACCTGGTCACTTTGCCAGATTTACCTTTCAGTATAAGTTAATCATTAGAGATTTCATTTTATATATTAGTTCCTAAAGAGGTGGGTAAGCCAAATCAGTTTCAGAGAGAATGATAACTTCAACTATATTTTAAGATAAAAAAAAATACAAATATGGTGACCCCAACCAGGTAATGGCAAATGAAACAAGGTTTCCAGGGAACATAAGCAAAAAACCCCAGAGATATATATCTCTGTACTCTTCCCTGATATCTGCTATGGTCAAACTAACATAAACTATAATCACAATTAAAGTAGTTTAAAATTGTGCCCATAAATGTATTCAACTTAATAGAATGTAAGCACATCAAAAACGAGGACACTTCCATGGATCATTGCTATATTCCTACAGCACTTAGCATTCTCAAACAATGTTAAAGACAATAATGAAGTTTTACTGAACTACTTTGCTTCTAGAGACAGACAAGAATTACAAAAACACTTACAATAACATGTTCCTTTGAGAGGGTTTCCCTGGTATCGATTTTCTACTTCACAACTAGGGGGGGAAAAATGAAGATTATTTTCTATTGCTATTTAAAAGAGAATCTACATTCATTTTAAAATCAAGTAGACCCTTTAATATAAACTACCATTTTTGAGTCAGTACATATAATTACATTCTTCACTGTTATTCAAATCAAGTGAACTAACAAGAATTTGCATTTATTTTTAATGCTGACTGCCCAGGAGTTCATACAACCACCTACTGAGAAACATTTGCCAAACAAATGAGATAAACCCAAATATAATATATCTAGATCCTACTTATAATCATGAAAAACACATTTTTACTTTTATATGAACTATTCTTTTAAAAGTGCAGTTAAAACATTTTTCATATATTCATTTTTCACCTCTTTCCTATTCTCCCTGGATAAACTGATCCTGTTCTTTAAATACAAGTAAAAGAAGGCTAAACACAAAGAACCTTTTTTTAAAAAACAAACAAACCTGGGACACAGTTCACCAGTCTAGAGAAAAATAAGTTCTAGTTAAAAAAAAATTATTAATTTCCTCATAGGTATTATCTATGAACATCAGCAAAACCATTGAGGCAAGCACAATAGCTATGAACTATGGAAAAAGAAGGGGAAAGCTTGGGTCAAGCACTTCGCCCAGATAAATAATACAGGGATATGTGTCTGTTTATAAAGGGTGATTAACAGCACTTGTTTATACCTAAATCTCTTAAAAAGAAAGTCTTTCACTGGGCCTATTCCCCATTTCTTTGCTGTGTATCAAAACTGAGGACAGGAGTGATTAATTTTGCTCTATAACATTTTTCTGTTTAAAGAAACCTGGACTCAAAAATTAAATTTGACCTTTGATTATACTTTTCTTCACGTACTGGTTTCAGGGCAGCATAAAACCAATAAACATATATGCACTAATGTAAACTAGAAAATGTAGACAGAGCATTTCCCTCCTGAACACCACTATCAAGCCTCAATCACTGGTTACATAACTTTGCTTACCAATGACACATCTGCTTGCATCAGCTCAATATTTTGATACTACTAAACATTTCTAAGTCTCTTCTTGAGAGAATGAGTAAACCTGGAGTATGTGTTTTATGAGGTTTTCTGGTGAGGCAGACAGGAATATATAAATTAGAGAACCATCTCTCTTCTTTCAACATCCCAGGACATTAAAAACAATTATTGTTAGTCCCACTATTGAAAGAGGTGGAAACAGATTCAGCACAGTTAAGTGATTCACCTCAAGAGGACCCCGCTCAGTGGAGGCACAGCCAGGGCTGAAACCCCACATCTGCTTGCATCCTCATAGGTGGGGACCCCAGACTCTCCCTTGGAAGATATCTCATCTACTTCATCAAGGAAAATGCTAGAACAGGGTGGGATGTGTTAAAGGCCAGAGAGGATCACCTCCACTATCAGACAACCAAAATGCCAAATAAAATACTATCTGGGAATACCAGCTCTTCCAACTCTCTTTTGAAAAAGGGTTCAATCTCCTGACATGACAAAAACCGAGTACTGGCTGAAGTTAGACAACTAATCCAAGTCAGCAACCCAGGGAATGTCAGAGTTATTAAGGAACTGCTGCTAAACTGACAACCTACTCACTATGGAGGTTGACCAAGTTAGACCTGTCTGAAGTAGAAAGAGCAAAATTCCAAATCAATCAACTTGGGATCCCTTAGAGCCCATGGCAACAAGGCATAGACCCAGATGACCTGACTCAATCACTAAACCCAGGCATGGCCTGTGACAGGGGTCCTGGGAGGGTGGTACTCACAGCTGGCACTCGTCCCCCTTGACGCCCTTGGTGGTGCAGAAGCACTTGCCCGAGTTGGTATTGCACAGTGACGCGTGACCATTGCACTTACATACTGGAAGGAGGAAAAGGAATGTTGGTCACAACTGGCTTAAAAGATTACTATCAGAGACTTTTTCTAAAACAAGTTAATTAATTTCAATTGGATTTGACATGAAAGATTAAAATTAAAGCATTTAATGAGTAAGATTCTTTTTTTTCAGCTAATGATTTATCTCAAATAATGTAAAGGCAACATTAAAGGAACCAAAGTCAAAGGACAGGAGGAAAGTCATTTCCACCACCATCTGAAGCAATCCCAATTTTTATCTTTTTAATAGACTGTGTTTTCCACTATTACAATTCTTCTATTCATTCAATAAACATTTAATGAAGTGTCTCTAGTGTGCCAGTCGCTGGGTGTGAGGACACAGACACAGTCCCTGCCCCCATGGAGATGTTCTGATGACAGTCTGAGGGGAGGGTTGGTCAGGCTGCACTCAGCCTCAGCTGAGGTGCCTTCTCCACAGTGGTCACATTTCAAACCCCACTAGGGCTCAGAAGTAGGGTGGGATTCCAATGGCAGGTTGGTGTTTCAGAGGCTATTCAGGACTCAACAGCCTTCCTTGCCTTCTTCTTGGCCTCCATAAAAAACTACTCCTGTCACTTCTCTCCTCTAGCCATCAACATCTCTCTACCTTTTTTTAATCCAGCACACTAGAGGCCTGGTGCATGAAATTCACACACAAATAGGGTCCCTAGGCCTGGCCAGTGATCAGGGTCGATCGGGGTCTTCTGGCTGCCGGCCGGGGCCTTCCTTCCCCTAGCTGCTGGTTGCTGGCCGGGGCCTTCCTTCATTCTGCGCTACCCCCTGGTGGTCAGTGTACATCATAGCGAGCAGTCGAACTCCCGGTCAGTCAAACCCCTGAGGGGACAATTTGCATATTAGCCTTTTATTATCTTACATAATAAAAGGCTAATATGCAAACTGACCGAACGGCAGAACGACCGGTCACTATGATGCACACTGACCACCAGGGGGCAGATGCTCAACACAGGAGCTGCCCCCTGGTGGTCAGTGTGCTCCCACAGGGGGCTGGCTGATGAGCACAGTGGTGGTGGTGGGAGCCTCTCCTGCCTCCCTGGCAGCGCTAAGGATGTCCGACTGACGGCTGAGGCCTGCTTCCCACACCAAGCTGTCAGTGGGACATCCCCGAGGGCTCCTGGACTACGAGAGGGCGCAGGCCAGGCTGAGGGACACCCCCCCCCCCGAGTGCATGAATTTCGTGCACTGGGCCTCTAGTCCTATCTAATAATAAACAAACATGGTAATTAACCGTACCTTCGCTACCATTGCCATTGCCTGATCAGCACGATATGCAAATTAACCGCCAACAAAGATGGTGGCTAATTTGCATACTGCAGGCAGGGTGGGACACCAGGAGCCGCCATCCAGGCCCCCGTGTGCGACCCCAGGGGCCGCCGGAAAGCCAGGCCGCAGGCAAGGCGGCCCCCCTGGGACCCAGGAGTCGCCTTGCCTGCCACCCGTGATCGTGATCGTGATCGGAAAGCCGGGCCGCAGGCAAGGCGGCCCCCTGGGACCCAGGAACCCGTCGGCGAGGTCTGCAGGCGAAGCAGCGATCAAGCTATGAGGGAGAGGGTGGGGGGCGGAAGGAGCTACAGGAGCAGCTCTGGCCAGAGACTGAAGACTCCAGCCGGAGCGAGGAGCAAAGACTGAAGGCTCCAGCTGCAGCGAAGACTGTGTCCAGAGCGAAGATGGAAGGTGGTGGCCAGAGTGAAGGTCTGGGTCCCGGGTGCCAGAGGAAAACTGGTGCTGGCAGCCAAGGGAAAGAAGGCCTATTGCACGAATCTGCGTGCAACAGGTCTCTAGTCTATATAATAAAAGCCTAAGTGGCCATTATGGCAGAACGACTAGAATGACCGGTCACTTGACGCGCACTGACCACCAGGGGGCAGACATCAATGCAGGAGCTGCCCCCTGGTGGTCAGTGTGCTCCCACAAAGGGAGCACTGCTCAGCCAGAAGCCGGGCTCACAGCTGGTGAGCATAGCAGCGATGGTGGGAGCCTCTCCCGCCTCTGCGGCAGCACTAAGGAGCAGTGAGCCCAGCAGTAAGGAGCAGCGAGCATGTGGGCGGTAAGGAGCAAGGCCTCTAGTATAGGATAAGTATGAGACATGATAAATTTTATGTTAGTTGAAATAAGTGAGTTTTTTTGCTCAATTCCTTTTCATTTTACACCCTGTTTTTCTGTGAATAAAATTAAAGGCATTAGGCTGGAGATAGGTGCACTTTTAAAATAAATTTTGCAGAGAAAATAATCACCCAAAGAAACCTGTGAAACAGAATAGTAAAGCTGTTAAGAGAATGGATGCACATTCAGAAACATGAGTGTTCAACTGCTGGCTCAGTTGAGTATGGAGAGGGAAGTACAGTATATTAACAAAAAAGCAAAGGCCTGAAGTCAGTTTGCCTGGGTTTGAATACAGTCCACTCCACTTAGCTCCTTTGTAACTTCAGGCACGATATTTAGCTCCTTTAAGTCTCTGTTTTCACATCTATATGATGGGTATGATAATAGTACCTGTCTCTTGGACTGTTGTGAAAATTAAATGAGATAATACATGAATGAAACACAGTAAGCATTCAATAAATCATTGTTTTTATCCTTAGCTTAAGGACTATATAATTATAAGAGGAAAACATGAAAGACTTAGTGCCACTCACAGTATTTTAAAATCATGCTTTCTATTGTGGATTGAGACCCTAAAAAATAAAATTAGCTCTAAGTTATGGACAAAAGTACTCAGGCCCCACAACTGCTACAGAGCAGAATGTAATTTTCCTCGATGGCTGATGAAGATCTGGGGATGAAGACAAGGCACAGATCCAGCAGACCTGGCTATTGGTACAGGCGCTTGGAGGCACAACCAGGCCCAGTAGTTAAAGTCACACATCCTGGATGTGGTTCCCATCTTGCAGTAGGAAGTTGGGCAGATAGGTTCCTTGATCACAGGGATAATAAAAGCCCCTACGTCTCGGGTGGCTGCCAGCACAATGCCTTGTACACAATTATCAATAGGTTTAGGTACTCTGATTACTGTCTAATGGATGAAGTCTATTCATAGGAGAAGAAAAATATTTTTACTGAAGATTTTTTAATCTGAGCAAGAAATTTTATTTAAGAGTGGTAGAAAATGACATTAGAAAAGTAATAATAATTATTCACATCTACTGAGTGATGACTATGTGTCATGCATTCTCTGACTGCTTTCAGTCCAACGTCCCCATATTTGCAGATGAGGAAACTGAACCCTAGCAAGGGTAAGGGATATACCGCTAGGACGCAGCTCTCTCCTGGCTGCTCTGGGATCAGACCTTTCTCAAGAGCCATGTGAAGGAGCTTGGCGGCAGAATTAGGTTCGGCCTGTACCCACCAGCCACTAGCTCTGTAAGCTTTTGAGAAAGCAGAGGGGCAGACTAATTTACTATGAAACCTTTTAAAAACATATTCACACACTTTCATGTGCCCCTGTCCAGATGTCCGGGAAACAAGAGCTTGGGAGCATCCCGCCCAGGCCGTGGGGAGGGGGTGTCTTCTTGGTGTGCACTACTAATTTTAACAACCAAATGAGCGGAGATTTTCTTTTCTTATTATTTTCCTGCTCAGAACCTGAAGGGTCTTTTCATGGAAACTAGAACAAACCAAAAATAAGTTCATTGGTATCACTGGTCACTTATAAAAAACATAATTTATATTCTAACAATAAAATATCCTGTTGCTTACAGAAATCTATTTGACATGCATGGGGAAATGTGGGACTATTTAAATATTTAAAACACACCAGAAGTACTGACTGAGGAGTCCGGCTTCTGGTTAAAAACCTACATGCATTTTTTCCAACCATAGCCTTTCCCCGCAGGCCTTAGAGGGAAAGCTGCCCTCCCATACCAGCCTGGGTGGAAGTCTCTGAGGGGAGTTGCAGCCAAAGTGTCAGGAACCCCTGGTTGGCCACCTCTTTCACATATTTGCATTCCAACTTCAGATGCCTTCATTCCTAGGTCTCCTTACCTGAGGCCTTGGGCAGAGGTCATGTTCAGGCCTCTGCTGAGCTTCCTCATGGGGGAGGAGAGGAAAGCCTTGAAGACACTTTCTCCACTCTCCATCCCCAGGGCTTTCCCACTCCCAGCCCTTCCTCTTCACCCTCCCTCCCCAACCAGGGTCCATACGAGGCTTTTGCTGAGCCTTTTGTCTGGGCTCCCTCAATAGTCCAAAGACCACCCCCACCTCCACCCCCCGCCTATGGTCATCTAACCTGACACTCAACCGGTGCGCCATTCCAGGAGGCAACATAGAACAGATGGAGTTAATGCATTCTCCACTTTAAGCCTCTTTCTTGTATGACTTAAGAAATACAATATCCAAAACCAATTGGCTTCCTTCTCCTTTTAGATATTCAAGTAAAAGAGAAGCACTGTGTTACATCTGGGTTGCAGTCAGTAATCCTGATGGATGGATTTGACTTACACTGACATTTCCCCCCATTGGTGGGATCACCATAGAAGCCAGATATGCAGGTCTCGCAGTGCTTGCCCGTGGTCAGGTTCTCACACTTCTCACAGATACTCTGATTAATGCATTTGCTGTGGCCATTGCACTGGCAAGCTGAAAGAAAAATAATTTTTTTGGTCCCATTGTACAACTGATGGAGTAAGTTCCACAAGATTATTTGCAACTACCTAAGTTCCTTATTGCCTCTAAATACAAAATCATTGAAACTGGCTCACGAAAAACTAGTTTGAAAAAGAGCTAGTGTGTGAAATTCAGAAATATACCATAGCAAGAAGAAAGTCCATAGCCAGTAAAAACAATAATTTTTGTTGTTATTCACTGTAAAAACAATATATGCTTATGGTACTTAAATTTGAAAACTGTAAGGAAGGCAGGAAAATTACATATACTTCCACAATCCAGAGATCACTGTTCACATCTGGAATTTTTCCTTCCAGTATTTTTTAAAATATATTTTTATTGATTTGAAAGAGAGGAAGGGAGAGGGATAGAAACATAGATGTGAGAGAGACACATCAATTGGTTGCCTCCCACACATGCCCTGACCAACCAGGGCCGAGGACTGAGCCTGCAACCAAGATAAGTGCTCTTGACCTTTCAGTCCACAGGCCGATGCTCTAACCACTGAGCAAAACAGGCTAGGGTGTAAACAGTTTTACTGAGATATAAGTGACATATAACATTGTGTAAGTTTAAGGTGTACAACATATTGCTTTGATACACTTATATATTGCCAAATGATTACTATCATAGCATTAGCTAACACCTGGATCACATCACATAATTATCATTTTTGTGTGTTTATGAGAACATTTAATATTTACTTTTTTGCAACTATTGCAGGTCTTTCTTGCCTGATCAGGATGATATAGTTTTTTACTATCTCAGAAACTGTCCATAGCCGGTACCTGTCTTGTTTACCACCCGTTCTCTACCCTAACCCTGTAGGTCAGCGGTTCTCAACCTGTGGGTCGCGACCCCTTTGGCGGTCGAACGACCCTTTCACAGGGGTCGCCTAAGACCATCCTGCATATCAGATATTTACATTACGATTCATAACAGCAGCAACATTACAGTTATGAAGTAGCAACGAAAATAATTTTATGGTTGGGTCACAACATGAGGAACTGTATTTAAAGGGCCAGAAGGTTGAGAACCACTGCTGTAGGTATTTGAGTTGTTCTATACAGACTGCAACTGAAAAACTTAAAAATGACTACATTAGTTATGACTGCACCAAAATTACTTTGGATGTATGGGATATACATGTTGTTCCTGTGAAGATGGCTAGTCCTCCCTTAGTATCTACTGATGCTCAAGTCCTTTAGTCGGCCTTACATTCTATGGATGCAAAACCCATGGATATGGAGGGCCAACTATACAGCAAAAGAGCAAAGCACAACACACACAAAGTGTAATACCCAAAATAATTTACAAAAAACAATCTGTTCACTATAAAAAGACTAAAAAAAAAAAAAAAAAAAAAAAAAAGACTGAACAAATGTGTCTCTCTTCCCCTTCAAAACTACACTGAAAGATTAAATTAACAGGAGTATGGGATAAGAGGAAAGATGCTATCAGAAGTATTGGGAGATACTTCTAAAGTATTGAGGAATTTCCAGAAATTGTAAAACAGATATGGTCAATCTGACCAAACAACGGGAGTTCAGACACCTGTATCCTAATCCTAATATAGGAGAAGGAGGGGACTGACAAAGTGACTACATACACTTTACCACTTGACACCTAAATAATCCAACAGAGGCTGGCAGCCAGAACAGGCCTGGGGAGAGTGATGGATAGCAGGAAGTACCTCACGACCTGCTCAACAGCTGGCTGAGGCATCTGTCCGAGGCTGCAGTAGGAAAGGACAGTTCTGTGGAGTGAGTTGGGGGTCAGAAAGAAAAACCAGGGCAATGCCCCAGCTATCTTCAGGTCACCATAACATCCTAGTGTGGGGAGACACTTGGCACAACCATGACCATGACCATGCCAAATGCATCCAGGCACTTGGTCTATTACTCCCTCCTTCTTCTACTGAAGGAGGAAAGCAGACCACTCAACAACACTCAGAGCACACCAGAACTGGAGAGACCTGTGGCTGGCTAGTCCGCTTCTCCCTTAGGATATCACACCACACCTTCACAACAGCTCAGTGTATCCAACAGTGATAAATTCAGATAATCCTAAAGATAAATACAAATCAACCTTAAACAGCAATCGGTATAAGAAAATCATCAATGTAAAGGCACTACCTGGATAAACACAACGAGCAACTAACCTTGAAGGAAAGGCTGATGCAAGAAACTTAAGAGAATGAAAAATACTAATTTTAGTAATTGAAAGAGACAAGAGATTATTGTATTCATAAAATAAGCAAGCAAGCTCTGAAAAAAAACCTCATGATATTTAGAGAATTTGCAAAATGAAAAAGGATAAAACAAAATTAGACACAAAACAAAAAATCCTCAATAGGTTAAACAGAACATATATCTTCAAGAAAAGAAGCTATCTTCAAGAACATATTATAAACAACTGTATGCCAACAAATTTGATTACTTAGATGAAATAGACAAATTCCTAGAAAAACACAGATTACCAAAACTGACTCAAGCAGAAATAGAAATCTGAATAAACCTGTAATAAATAAGTTTAAATTAATAATCAAAGATCTTCCCACAAAGAAAAGTCCAAGCCAGATGGCTTCACTGATGAATTCTAGCAATACTTAAAGAATAAATGTCAATCCTTTGCAATCTTATTAAATAGAAAAGGAGGGAATGTTTCCCAACTCACTCTATGAAGCCAATACTAGCCTGATACCAAAGCCAGTCATCACAAGCAAGCTATAGAACAGACCCATATCCCTCATGAATAAAAGACACAAAATCCCCAACTAGCAAAATGAATCCAGCAACACACTGAAAAGGATTATGCAACATCAGCAAATGGCTTTATCCCAAAAATGCAAGGCTGGTTTAATATTCTTAAGTCAATTAATGTAATACATGAAAGAATAAAAACCACATCATCATTGCAATAGATACAAAAAAAAAGCATTTGATAAAATATAGCATCCATTCATGACAAAAATCTTCAAAAAGCTAGAAAGAGAAGAAAAATTTCTCAACCTGATAAATGGCATGTATGAAAATTTAAAGCCAACATCAAACCTAATGGAGAAAGACTGAATTCGTTCCCCCTAAAATCAGAAACAAGACAAAGAAGTCCACTCTTACCACTTTTATTCAACATTACATTGGAATTTCTAGCCAGGCCCAGTAAGCCCCCCAAAATAAATTTATAAAAGGGTATCCAGATTGGAAAGAAAAAGTAAACTGTCTTTCTATTTTTTTAATTTAATTTTATTGTTTAAAGTATTACAAATAGTAGTACATATGTCTCCTTTCTTTCCCCATTGACCTTCCCCCGGCCTCCCCTACTACCCGGCAAATGCCCTCCCTTCTCCCCCCAGTGTCTTTCATCCACTGGTTAAACAGACAACATGACCTTGATGTAGAAAACCCTAAGAAATACACTAAGAAACTAATAGAAATAATAAATGAGTTCAGCAAAGTTGCATGCCACAAGATCAATAGACAAAAATCAACTGTATTTCTACACACTAGCAACGAACAATCAGAAAATGAAATTAAGATAATTTCATTTTAAGAAAAATAAAGAGGGGGGGAAGAAAATGGCGGAGGTATAGATGGATGTCCCGTGCCTTGTCCCGGAGCAGATAAGGGTAAGCAGCTGAAACGGGTAACATACAGCCCGAATAAGCAGAGGATATTCAGCTGAGAGACAGTTTGCAGCCGGGAAAGACAGAGGACTCCGGAGAAAGGGGACGGTTGGAGACTGAGGCTGAAATCTCTCCCGGAGCGCCGGCTCAGCCACGGAGACCACAACATCTTGAGTGGCTGTTACTGGAAAGGTATACACCCAAAGACACGGCATCCAACCCGGAAACAACGGATCTCACGGATCTCAAGCAGCGCGACTATGACGAGCCCTGCTTCTCCTCACGGAAAGGTTAGATTTCCCCTAAAGGTGCGGTTTGCAATTCAGGTTGGAGAGAGGAATGCGCGCAGGGGGGGGAAATCTGCGCCCCACAAAGTCCGCAGCGTTGGGGCCGCAGCGTTGG